CCCCCCCCCCCCCCCCCCCCCCCCCCCCCCCCCCCCCCGCCGAGAAACTGGCGATGTGGACTCGGCAGCAGAGCCGCAAACGGGCCTCCCTTTGACTAGGAGATATATGAGCAAATGGGATACGTGTACTCCGTACGGAACCGCGGCAAGCCAGGAGTAAAAGAGAAGAAAAGCAGACGTTCCTTGCATGCATCTCATGGGCGATGCTAGTTGTTGAGAGAAGAACCAAGCGTTTGATGGCGGAGTTTTGTGCATGTGGACCTGCGTTTGCTTGCACATAAGCTGCAGTTTTTAGTGTCGATTAGGATTGCCTTCCAAGGTCTGTCTGTGTTGTAATATTGAAGCGCTTATTTACCTGGTGCAGCAAATGCCTAGGTAGTCTATTAAATTAAATACTACTATATCTACGATGTTGACTTCAATTATGGTTATTCTTAATTTATCTCGCCCGGCTCTTTTACAGGGACATTGTACTCGTATGTAGAATCAAAAGTCTCGAGACACACACACACAGACACACCACCACCACCACCGTCCATCCCCTTAGCCTGGGCTGGGGTCACGATGGCCAGGGCTTAGTGACGCATGTGACGGGGGTGGTCTGGTCTTGTTCTAGTTTCTCCAGCCGGGACCAGGGACGAAACTTGTGCCGTGACGCCATTTGATGCCTGTTCTTTTCTTTCTTTTCCCTTGTGCTTTTTGCAGGGCCGGAGTGGGATGGATGGATGGATGGATGGAGACGGACGCCTTGTCAGGCTCTCAGGCTCTTTTTTGGTTCGCGGCGCATGTCACCGGACGGGGTCACTGCGAACGGGCTTGTATGGCCTAGCCAAAGCATGCAATTCGGATGGAGTAATACCTAGTAACTATAGCCTGTCTTTGCCTTGTGTGTGGTTTCTTCGAGAAGGTCGTGGAAGAAAAAAGACAAGCTTTTACAAGAAGGGGGGAGGCGAATTATGCCCAACCAGGGGAAGGGGGGGGGGGGGGGGGTTGTTTCGGTTTGGGGTTTTGCATGAACAAAACTACTATTCTATGCCATCATCATGCTGTATCGCTCCTCTGCTAGTGAGGGGGAAGCAAAAGCAGAAGAGAGAGAGAGGGAGAAAAAACCCGCAAGAAATGGGATTAGTATCGAGGCAGACCGTTTTAGCTCGCTGCACTATTGCGTCAGGAAATATGGCCGGCCAGGCGCTAATTGGGGGGGAGAAGCTTGAACTTGGTCTTGGGTTTGTGGGCATCAGGTTGGGCTGGAATCGGAGTGGTTGGTTGGGGTCCCTTTTTTCACAGCCCCTCCGGGATGGGGACGGACGGAGCCGGGGGGTGGTTTGATGGATGTGTTTTTTCTTTGAGAGGGGAGAGTGTGAAAAGGGAAAAAAAAAAAAAGAGAGTCAGAGAAGGGGGGAGAGAAGAAGAAAAAAAGAGGGACAGGGCCGTGAATTGCTGCGCCTTCTCAGGTGGGCAAGGTCGCTTGATTGGAGTTGAGAGGTGCTCGTATCGTACAGTTTGGAGTCACTACTGGATGTTCACATCCATCTTGTGCTGCTGCTAGGGATGGCCCATGGACCGAGCCGCTGCTAAATGTTGTGGCCGTGCTAACGAGAGTTTGGTGGGCTTTTTGCGCTAACAAGATTCAAGGCTGGCTGGCTGGCTGGGATAGGATTCCGTTTGGATGGGATGGGATGGGATGGATGGATGGGCGGACATCTCCTGATTGCTGTGGCTTTTACAAGTACAACTGTTAACAGCCTTGGATTCGGTATCTACCTAGTACACACAGTGTCTCACATCAAAGAGGCCCAGAGTGAGGGAACGGCGTCATCGTCGTTATCGCTACTTGGTATAGGCATCACCACCACGACACAAAGTCTGGACTCAATATGGCATGGATGTATATTTGGCTGCTGGAAGTAAGATGGGTGGTTGGGTATGCACCCCATCATTGCTGCTCTGCCGTCCCTTGTAGCAATAGCAAGAGGTGCTCGCTTCTCACTTACAGCATGGATGTATCGACTCCATCTGCATGCATCGCGAGGTGCATGTATACCTACCTATCCTATCCTATCCTATCCCATCCTATCCTTTGTAACAACAACCCAGGCCAGTCATTTTCCCATCAGCAATGGATGCAATCGAATCCGGGCCAGGCCCCCGCTTGGGCTCCAAGACAGCCGGGCCATGCAAGTCCGAGATAGAGTCACCGAGCAAAGCGTGTTTCAGCACAGCACAGCAAGCACATGAAAGAAAAAAAAGAAGAAGACGAAAACAAGAACAAGAACAAGACAATAGAGTGCTAGAGCCTTCCAACGCGCATCGTCCTCGTAGTAGCGCATGTCCACCCCCCTGCTTCTTTTTTCCGGGCCTCCAATGAATGACACAAGACGAGACATCAGGTCAGGTTCCCAGCAGCGACTTTGATCGCCTGAGCCCGTTTTCTCGCTGCCGGGATGACGTTGGCCAACCCCTGTCGCCAGCTGATACTGCCTTGCTGCCTCTAAAAAAGAAAGAGGAAAAAAAGTCATGGATCACTGCCCCTCTGGCCGTTGGCGCCCGCTTTGCAAGGGCTAGAAAATCCTCAAAACCAGCGGCAGCAGACGCTGCTTTGCTTTGTCTCTGTTTCTCTGCTTCTCAGTCCTCAGTCCTCAACCAACTTGCATCTGTCGCTTCGAATCTGTGCTGCGCACTTGTTTCCACCCTCACATCCCGCTTCCGTCGAAATCGCTCGTCTCTTTGTCAATCCATGTGAGTGCTCACTCACTCTCTCTCGCGTCCAAAACGTCACAAGGAGCCTCAGCCGCATGACGTTCCCACCTTTCAAGACCCCGCTCCAACTCCTCCCGCTTATACTGATTGATAAAGCAAAGTCACCACCAGAAATAACCCTTCCCTGTGCCCCCGGCTTTTTGTTGCTCAAACATACAAAGCAACGAGGCGCCGAGCTTCATCTTTTCGGGCTTGACTTTTGAAACCCAGCCGGAACACGAGACCAAAGACAACAAGAGAAAAAAACACACCAAGATCAAAAAGCATGGCTTACCAGGACCGAGACTACCGCCGGTCTGCCGTCGAGTTTGACGATAACATCCGCACACGCACCGTCACCCGCAGCCCCGCGCCACCCGCCCCAAGATCCCGCCGAGGCGATTTTGAGGAGTTTGACGTCCGCATCCGCGAGAGAGATGGCGACCTGCCCGAGTTCCTGAGCCGCTCTCGAAGGCCTGAGGCTGGCCCCATGGTCCTGCGCCAGCGCGAGGCCGATCCCTATGACCGCCCGCCCAGGGAGCCCAGCCCGATTCGCTTCCGCGAGGAGCGCATTGTGCGGAGGGCCCAGAGCGTCTCGCCTTCAGAGCCCGAGCATGAGCACTCTCGCACCAGAATCGTCGAGAAGATCAGAAGCCCCTCCATGGCCAGACGCAGGTCTCCTTCGCCCAGGGCCGTGCGCTACGTTGAGCCCTCCGACACCGCCTCTGAGCACATCCGCATCATCGAGCGAGAGCGCGAGCGCGAGCGGGCGCCTTCGCCTTCGCCTTCTCCCCCTCCGGCGCCTCCCGTCATCCGCGGCCCGGTCATTGAGCGTGAGGTGATTACGCACTACACAGACATTGACCATGGTGAGTTTGGCTTCTCCCCCTGGGCGGGTTTCAGCCATCAAGTGTTGTCGATTAGAGTTCGATGCTAACGGGTTCCTAGGCATGATCCAAGCCAGACAGCCATCCCCGCCTCCAGCGGCCCGGCCCCGCCCGAGGGAGCGCGAGACCCGCGAGACGGACATTGACATTTCAGTGTCCAAGGGCCGCACTGAGGTGGACATTCACCGATCTGCCAGCCGCACTCGCTCAAAGAGCCGTGAAAGGCGCTCCAGCCGCTTCTATGACGACGACATTGTTGTCCGTCGCGATTTGAAGGTCGAGGAGACCAAGACTCGCAGAAGGGCTCACTCTGCCGCCGCACGCGGCCCCATCGAGGATGATGAGTCTGAGTACATCACCTCCAAGGTCGACTCCCGCGGGCGCATGGGCGAGGCCTGGGGCGGTGCCACCAAGAACTGGGCCATTGTCGATGTGCCTCCCGGAACTGAGCGGATACGCATGGATGGTGTTGGCGGCGCAACTACCGACACCACCTGGAGCAAGTACAGCGGTGTGCGGAGGACCAAGTTTGTGCCGGAGAGAGAGAGGGACCGGGATGACCTGTCCAACAGGGCGCCATCGCCTCCTCCCGCTCTTAGGGGTGAGCGTGTCAGCGTCTCCGTCCTCGACCGTGACCGTGAGATTGAAATCGACAGGCGGGTCGGCCGTTCCCCTGCTCCCCCCAAGGAGATGTGGACCGAGATCACCAAGGACCTGGTGATCCGCGAGGCCATCGAAGAGCTTGGCTACGAGTATGAGGAGACTGATCAGTTCTTCTATGTCATGGATTATCTCAAATATGTAAGCCCCCATCAATTGAAGTGTCCATGTCGAATTCACACAGCCTGCTAACACAAACTCTCCCCTCAGGACGATGTTCTTCAATTGACTGAACTCTCTGATGATATTCGACGATCCAAGCGACAGCGAGCGCGCGACATTCGATTCGACCGCGAGGTTGACTACTACGAGGAAGTTGACCGACGAAGCTATGACAGGCGTGCACCTCCTCCTCGGCGGGACGAGCGTGAGCGCATCAGGGAGACTGAGGTGATTTACGACCGCGCAGCTCCTCGCTACCGTTGAGGAAATCTGAGCCTCACATCCACGTCCTGAAGCTCATAACATGAATTGATTCTTTATGAATGGGGTTTGGATATTTGTCTCGACTTGCCTCTTTATTTGTCTTGAATACAATGAAGCCATTTACCGCGCGAGGCGAGAATGAGTCTCGGCTCGAAAAGAGAAGGAGAATGGAATGTATTGCATGGATGGGATACAACTTGAGCTGGCTTGATCATATCTTTTATTTTTCTTTGGCAGGGACGAGTCAAGGTGATTGGAGGGGCGGGTGAGTGAGAAGTTGGATCTTTTTTTTCTTCTTATTTCTTTCTTCATGTCTTATGATCCATGAATGTTTGATGACGACTTGGAGTTTAAATTGATGTTTTTTTTTTCATATTATTATATTATCTCATTTACATGTAATGAATAACGAAAAGGCAAATAAACATACTCTACGTACTATATCTTTTCCGGTGACACTCGTGTATCATTGCTACCTACGTGACAATGCATAGTGTCCACCCAGGCAAGGACTACGGCGATGAGTGGAAAATACCACATCTTCCCTTGGATCCCCGGGTATCTACGAAGATGTGGTGAAGAGTTTCTCTGATTGCACTCTTGGGTTGCTGCCAGTAGCGTGAGTTTCTATACCTGCAGCGTATGGAAACTTGTTTGAGACGTGAAACGCTGGTGTTTGCGATACAGTTTGCCCAGGCAGCCCTTTTATTGGTAGACCTGTCAGTGTTGATGACAATATGACTCTGTTGAACCTGAATGGCGGGCCCAACGAGGTAAATAGATGGAAGTAATTAGATGGATTCTCCGACATTGGTTCTGGGGATGGTCTATGAACGGAGCTTGGCTGTTTGGGCAGACAGTGACCAGGGAGGAACTTATCGGGAGGGAGATGATTTGTTCAAAACTTCTGCCTTTGAGTGAGATAAAAGAGGCGCAAGAGAGTATGGCCTTGAAAAGAGAGATGAACAAACTGCTGGATGAGGTAGTCCAAGTACATGCATCTTAGTCCTGGGCCAGAGACAAGAAGAGAACTACAGCCGGTCGCGACATACTCCCAAGCGGAGTATTTGCAGGACGCGGTGTTGATACGCCTGGCATTCGCAGAGATACAGATGGGTCAATACCGGGAGTTGATACCTATGCAATGTAGTGACATCAAAGATGAGAGACCAAGGTATCAAGGGAAACGCTCGCCAACACCCCAAGCCTGCTATTCAGCATCCCGTATCGCAGGCTTAAAATGACCTTGGTGGGAAGTGATGATGCTAGAAAGTAGGGGAATATAGCGATAGTAGCAGATACTTAACCGCATGCAGTCGCTGGGGTGCTGGCTAGTATCTCACAATATCAAGTTGAGAAGAACAGAGATACACATGTAGAAGGTTGTTCGGAAGCTTATTCGTTGTGGTGTTAGTACGTCTATATGAACAACAACGGACTTACGATAGATATACTAGAACTTGGATTAATCAATACACTCGTTCCCGTACGTACGTTTATAACAACTGCTGAAGACACATCCGTCACTTTCACGGCATGTCATACTCGTTCCATTTTGAGATACCAAAGATTAAAACTTGACCATGTCAGTTTTCGAAACGCCGCCATAAGTGTCTTACCATGATCATACTCGCATCGTATTCATATTCATTTCTTTCAAACGCAGTGCAAGAGTTGGCACCCCTCCATCAGCATGTGCTATCGACAACATGAACTTTCCAGCATCTCGTTGCCCTGGAAGCTGTGGAGAAGATTCAGAGTTTACGGGCGAGACAAAAGACAAGGTCGGGAGCGGGGAATAATAGAAGCTGTTGGAAACCCGTCCCGCAATAGGCAACCCTGCGGACACTGTGCGAAAGTTGAGCTGCTGGAGACTGTTCATGCATCATGGATGTTTTGGTTGGCTTGCTGCGTATTGTTGTTTTTGGAGCACCGAATACTACCATTGGTAGCCATGGCAAAGATGTTGCATGTCCATACGATTTAAGGACAAACACGGTGCCTGCTTGAATGCCTTGGGAGTGCCTTGGCAGGTAGGCCTATATACATGTATGCACAACGTCAATAGCTGAAATGATATGTTGCATGAACCTCTTGAAAGGGACCCCGCCGAAGCAAGCAAAAGAGGGCGAGTTTCCAGCCGGTCTGACTAGCAGTAGTGCCGCCCTGTTGAGGCTCAAACTCTCAACCCGTGGATCAAATGTCAAATGCTCCATGCCATTGCAATCGACTGTTGCCAGTGATGGATCGATCACATGACAGCACAGGCACAAAACGGGGTCCATCCGTAACGCTCGTCACAGGCACGGAACGGCGGGAGCAGCGAATCAAGCAGGCCTGAATGACGGCAGGATTTGCAACAATTCGCCACTGCCCGCTGATCCGCCCGCTGTTCTACCTAGTAGTTACTTAAGTTTGCAGTGATATCAATAGACCCGTAGTATCTACAGGTACGGGTGTTGTACTGTACTGTGCTGTACAGTGCGGTTGCGGGTTCCATTATCTTCAGGTTATCGTATTCGCGTCAACAAGAATCTGCATGTGCTCAAGTCTCACAGCTTTTCCTTGGCGGCAACCTTGAGATCCGCCCGCCCCGCCTGTCGCTAAGCTTTTTTCTGCCCTCTTCTTTTTTTTTTTTCCCGCAAGCCTCAATCAGCTCAACTTGTGTTAACCGCCGTTTCGCCGGGCCAGCGACCTCGCCCCTAGGCCCCGCTGCAAACCCGCCACGGCCGCCGCTGATTCGTCCACGCTGGGGGGAGGGGAGAAGCACCCGCCTTGCTCAGCTCCGTTGCTGGCTGGAACTTGGTACATGGCGGGGGCCCTCAATGGTTATAGCGGAAGCTCGCCCTTGGAAGGGCCCTGAGAAGGCACCCGGAAGCACCGTCAAGTGCCGACCACTGCTGTTGACGACCGCTATTACGAGTACCTACTGACTGGATCGCCCAGCTGTGCTGTGCTGTGCTGTGCTGCTATGTGCTGATCTTGATTCAGGCTAGGTGGACGGAAACTCTATTTTTTGTTTGCATTCTTGACCCAGCATACAACAATCTCTCTCTCAACTGTTGTTTTTTCTTCTCTCCAGTCCTCTCCTCTTCCTTCGTGCTGCTCTTCTGTTTTTGGCCTCTTCCCCAGAACCACAAGCCCTGGGCCGCATCTACAGGCCCTTCCGCGACCTCGTGACGGCACGGCATCGCTGCGTCATTCTCACAGCTCGGCACGCTCTTTAGCACCTCTCCCTCTAAAATAGCGCCTCGACAGGCACGCAGTCGTGCAGCTGCAAGAAAGTGGCGGTAGCAGCCTCTGGCCCCGTCATCCCACAGCACAAAACGACCCCCCTTGCCGACCTTTTACTATTTGGAGGCAGACCCTCTGTGCGATCCCTCGACCCTATTCGCTCTCTTCCCCTTCTGCGTCTGCTTCTGACCGTAATACAGCCAGGCAGCTGTTGGGATCCTCACCCTCACGGTTCCAAGATTGAGAACAAGTACATCGCCGAAATTCCAATAGACCGCCCTTTTCCTTTTTCTGCCTTGTCGCGCCAAACCAACTACGTGTATCCCACGAGGCTACCCTTTTTTTTTCTACTTTCTCTTTTTTTCTCTCTCCGCCTCCGCCTTGGGAAACTCCCCCGCGTCTACGCCCTTCTTCCCTCCCTCCCCCCCCCTTGGTCCAACACGTGTGTGGCCGCTCATCACAACAGGGCGTTTTCCCACCAGCATCACCAGGGCCTTTGGACGCCGCATGACAGGACGCTTTAAAGACCGCAACCATGTCGAGCTCAGAGATTAATACGGTGCTCGCCAACTCGCTGTCTGCAGGTTAGTACCGAGCGGAGGGGAAAACTCTACCGCAGAAACCCTCCCTGCGCACCCCTCAAGAGGGGCACTTTTGTTTGCTTGTGACGGCCCTTTGCTCTCCAGGAAGTCCGGCTTGGGGGTGGAATGAACAAGGCGACTTTGGGAAATCGAGCCACAGAGCATCCTCAGCTAACCAAGAGGCAAATAATCACAGATGCGAACCTGCGAAACTCCGCCGAACAGCAGCTCACCCAGGCAGCGGAGAGTAACTTCGTACGTTTTTGCCCACCTCCCTTGAGCCAACGAAAGATCCGATCGCAGACACTGACAGATTTTCTCTTTTTTTTTTCGCCCTCGTATAGCCGCTGTACCTCGCTACACTCGTTCAAGAACTCGCAAACGAACAGGCAGAGAGCTCCATCCGAGCCGCTGCAGGTATTGCCCTCAAGAACGCCTTCACAGCCCGAGATTTCTCCAGGCAACAGGAGCTGCAGACAAAATGGCTTCAGGGAACCGACGATGAGACCAAGAACCGGGTGAAGCAGCTGACACTGCAGACCTTGTCCTCGAGCAACACCCGTGCCGGCAATGCTGCCGCCCAAGTCATCTCCTCCATCGCCGCCATCGAGCTGCCCCGCAACCAATGGCCCGATCTGCTGCCTTTCCTCGTCAAAAACGTGAGCGAGGGCGCCGATCACCAGAAGCAGGCTTCACTCACCACCATTGGCTACATCTGCGAAAGCCAAGACTCGGAGCTGCGGCTCGCCCTCGTAACCCATTCCAACGCCATCCTGACCGCTGTCGTCCAGGGCGCTCGCAAGGAGGAGGCCAACGTCGAGGTCCGGCTCGCCGCCATCACCGCGCTGGGCGACTCGCTTGAGTTTGTCGCCAACAACTTCAAGCATGAGGGCGAGCGAAACTACATCATGCAAGTCGTTTGCGAGGCCACCCAGGCCGACGACTCGAGAATCCAGCAGGGCGCTTTCGGCTGCCTGAACCGCATCATGGGACTCTACTACGAGAACATGCGCTTCTACATGGAGAAGGCCCTCTTTGGCCTGACCATTCTCGGGATGAAATCCGAGGATGAGGACGTCGCCAAGCTGGCCGTCGAGTTCTGGAGCACCGTCTGCGAAGAGGAAATCTCCATCGAAGACGACAACTCACAGGTGGAGAGCTCGGACCAGATGCGCTCCTTCTACAACTTTGCGCGCGTTGCCGCCAACGAGGTTGTCCCCGTCTTGTTGACCCTCCTGACCAAACAGGACGAGGATGCTACGGATGACGAGTACAACTTGTCCCGAGCTGCTTACCAGTGTCTGCAGCTCTACTCCCAGGCTGTCAACGCCACCATCATTGCTCCCGTCCTGTCCTTTGTCGAGTCGAACCTGAGATCTGACGACTGGCACAACCGAGATGCTGCCGTATCTGCATTTGGCGCCATTATGGAGGGCCCCGATGAGAAGGTTCTGGAGCCCATTGTCAAGCAGGCTCTGCCTGTCTTGATTACCATGATGGACGACTCCTCTCTCCAGGTCAAGGATTCCACCGCCTATGCCCTGGGCCGCGTCACCGAGGCGTGCTCAGAGGCTATTGATGCTCAACAGCATCTTCCCACGCTGATTGCGTCCCTCTTCAAGGGCCTCATTAGCAACGCCAAGATGGCCCCATCTTGCTGCTGGGCCCTGATGAACCTCGCCGAGCGCTTCGCCGGCGATTTTGGTGCTTCTTCCAACCCCATCACTCCTCACTTTAACCAGGCCGTCAGCTCCCTGCTGGACGTCACTGCTCGCCAGGATACCGAGACATCCGTGCGAACCGCCGCCTACGAAGTCCTCAACGTCTTTGTTCAGAACTCTGCCTCTGAGAGCATGCCGGCCATTGCATCCCTGTCCGATGTCATCATCAAGCGTCTCGAGGAGACCATTCCTCTGCAGACCCAGGTCGTTAGCGTCGAGGACAAGCTGACTCTGGAAGAGATGCAGAACAGCCTGTGCACCGTTCTGCAGGCCATCATCTCGCGCCTTGACAAGGAGATTACCCCTCAAGGCGATCGCATCATGCAGGTCCTCCTTCAGATCCTCAGCACCATTGGAGGAAAGTCTAGCGTGCCCGAGGCCATCTTCGCCACCATCAGCGCCCTGTCAACTACCATGGAGGAAGACTTCATCAAATACATGGAGGCCTTTGTTCCATTCCTGTACAATGCTCTCGGAAACCAAGACGAGCCTAGCCTCTGCTCGATGGCTATTGGCCTCGTCAGCGACATTACGCGATCCATGGGCGAGCGCAGCCAGCCTTTCTGCGACAATTTTATGAACTATCTTCTCAACAACCTAAGGGTGAGTTTTTACTTTGATGTTCATCGCTAGCGGCATGACTAACTTTGCCGCCTCACAGAGTACCACACTTGCCAACCAGTTCAAGCCCGCTATTCTGCAGTGCTTTGGTGATATTGCCGGCGCCATCGGAGGCCACTTCGAGACGTACCTCTCGGTCGTTGCTCAGGTTTTGGAGCAAGCATCCACAGTCACTGCAACCCCCGAGGGCCCCGATGAGATGTACTACTATGTCATCTCTCTGCGAGAAGGTATCATGGATGCGTGGGGTGGCATTATCGGTGCCATGAAGTCAAGCGGAAAGAGTACGTCTGATCTCACACTTGTGCCCTGCCGTGATTGTAGTACTGACAAATTTCCTGCAGTCCAAGTCCTTCAGCAATATGTCCCCGCCATCTTCCAGCTTCTCAACCTCATCAGCACTGATGCCAACCGCAGCGAGTCACTTATGAGGGCGGCTATGGGAGTCATCGGGTAAGGACCCAAAAGATGTCTACGCGATAGAACGAATATGCTAACAACATCTTTAGTGACTTGGCTGACGCCTATCCCAATGGCGAGCTTGTCGATGCTTTCCGCCAGGGCTGGTTGACGGCTATGATCAAGGAGACCAAGACCAACCGCGACTTCCAGCCGCGCACGATAGAGACCGCTCGCTGGGCTCGTGAGCAAGTCAAGCGTCAGTTGGGTGGCACACAAGGCGTCATTGCTCAGTCTTGAGGTCGCAATCCCGCCCTTTAACCTTGAGCGTCCTGTCCCGGGATCATGAATCCCGAACAACAACAAAAGGAACAACTGCATCGCAACAGCCGTTGATTCTGAATCGAGAGCACCTCGTTATACTTCCCTGCCGCAGGACAAGCGCGCAGGCGCACACCCCCACCCCCTTTCCACCCCCCCAGTTCAACACACCACAGCAGAGCAACAACACGATCCCCATGACCACTTCATGTGTATATAGACCCTATGACACTACAGTAATCCAATACCCCCTTTCACGAAACTTTTTACACATTACACCATATTCCTTTTTTTTCTTATTCGAGTGGCTACAGTTTCCATATTTACAACATTCCCCGCTTCCCCATCAATCCCATTTTAATTGTCATCTTTTTGCCCCCCAGTCGTAACGATGGAATAGAGAAGTCATGTATGCTCCGCACGTATCGAAAAGAACGGCGGCAGCTAACCCAAAAGTCATGTAGAAAGGAACAGGGAGTACAAAGGAGGCCGGCTATTCATCGTTTTGTTTTTTTCTGTTTTTGTCTTTTTCTCTAGGTTTCGTTATCCCCCCCAAACAGCAATAGCAGAAGTTCAAGCCCTAGTCGGTTCAGTTTTCTGTGTTGGTGTTTCTTATCATCGTGCATTCATCCATTGGATGCCCCTTCGAGTGAATGGGCTTTGCATTTAGGAATGGCTCTTTGTGAATTTGGTTTTTGCAAGGGCAAGCAACTACGGGCGCGGGTAGTGGTGGATGGAATTATCAAGGGAAACTTTGGAGCGTGTCGGGGGAACCGTTTGTTTTTGCAGCTTTGACTCGCCTTGGGTTGGCGAGGGAGGCAAAGATGGGGAGAAGGAAAAGAAGATTAGGTTTTTAGGGAATATGGCTTTAGAACTAGAGAATCAAGTGATCTCGTTCCATGTACGGCGGTGCTGAGCGTTCGGGCCGCCGTTAGATAGTAGCGTCACAAACTGCAAATGGAATTCTGGTTGATCCCCCCTTTTTACATTGAGGCTGATATGCTTTGCGTCTTGAGGGGCTCTTATCTTTTATGAATGAGTGTGGACCTACCTAAGCAGTGTTTGTATTTCATCCACTCTGTGAAAGAAAGCTTAACATTTACGTAGAGTTTAGGAATCTTGCTCAGAGAGGCGTCTATATACGTACATGTACGAAAAATGTTCACTGTAACAGTTAGCATCGTGCCCGATACTCTGGATTTACAGGTAGCTTCAAAGACGTATCTCAGGGCTAGATTGGGTTTCAGCCGTGAATTCTTTTCTATTGCCCATCTCCTATCCCTCTCAAAGTTTATATTTATATTTTGCTCATCTTTCGTTTTTTGTTTTTTTCAGGTCTCAGTATATAAACCCCCATTCCGAACATTCCTTGCAACCGCCATCCGTCCTCAACTGACAACTACTATACGCATCTCCCCTGATTGTATAACTGCCCATTTTCTGTTCGCGTATATCCCACACACAAGTACAGCTTATTGCTTACAGTGAAGAGGACAATTCATTCATTGAGAGGTACGAAGTACTGCGTTCTGTTATGCGATTGGATTGTTCATCTGCATCCCCCTCCTGTTTGCATCCCCTTGCGTCTCAGCCCAACTCGCCCAGCCTGGCTTCTCTGGACTCTATCTCTTTGGTCCTCTTGCGTATTGCTGTTTATCCATGGCTTCGATTATTTCATGCATATCATTTCTTCATTTATCGATCGATACTTGTCCTCATATTACACGATAATAACTAATTCTTTCTAATCTAGGAAGCTTTGCCTCTCCTTTTCATACCTCGACAGAACATCATACAAGTATTCTTTATATGTCCCGGTTTTCCTGGATCGGCATTCTCACCAAGAAAACCAGTCTCCACGATCTGCTTCTGAACCCGAGACCATGGCGATCTCAAGCGTTTGCGATCTCCCGGCGGAGATGATTCTTTTATTCATGGAGCGCTTGCCAAATGTACCCACGTTAACCAACTTTATCCTCTGCAATAGGAGTATTTACAACATATATATTAACCACCCAACCCATATCTTGCTGTCTGTTCTTGAGAATGAGCTTGGCAAAGATCTCCTTGTCCATGCCATTGTTGCGCACCAGGTCGAGAAGATGGATGTAACCTTGCCACGCTTTGCCAGTCTGTCCATGGATCAGATCGACTCTGAAGTGGCCAATCTTCGAGGGATAAGGGACCAGGCCTTTATCTTACAGCATTCTTCCCCCAGACTCTCATCTATCAAAATCACCCTTCGAGATGCTAGCAGAATCTCTTCCTTGTGGACCAAGGTATCTCAGCTATCAGAAGCATTTGTGGGGGACTGCACTAGCGGGCTGGGGCGTGTATTTTATCCCTTAGAGGATTCTATTCGATGGCGGCCGGTGTCGGTTTCTGAGATGAGGAGGCTTCGACAGTCGATGTACATGTTCCACATCTTGTCCCTCTTTTGCGAGGATCTATTCCTTGATGTCCAACTCGATCAACATAACCAGGTTATTCAGCAAAAGGTCATTGCTTGCATGGATAAGATTTCGAAATTGCAGCGCACTCTTGTGGATGGATTTATGGCTCCTTGGGAACTGTATCAGGTTGTTTCGTTGCAGGCGTGGTTTCGTCGGCAGCTGCGTGAGTTGGGTAAGTCTTTCATCCTGTCATCGATATATGGGCATGTATATCATCATCTTTGTATTGTTATGCAATCAGTTGGCTCATGTTGTTTGCAGAACGCGACACCTATCTTAACGAGAGGCTGATGCCCTACCTCCTTTCCCGGGGCATAGAATGCATGCACGAGGGCATGTGTCTCGACAGACATGCGCGATTCGGCTATGCGAGTGAACGAGAAGGAGGGTTCTATTTCTTTCTCAATACAATGAAGGAAAAGGCCAGATGCCACCCAGCACACGGGTTCGGAATGGTTCTTTCACGGGGGATAAGGGACAACTGGGCGCGGAAGACGCCAAGGGCATTTGACCGGTACAATTGCTTTGGGGGCCGCCCAGACAAGGAAGCATACACCATCTGGCGTAACTTTGGAATCTCCAGGCACACACTGGGCTTCGACTTGTCGGCTCCCGGATCGTTTGACGTCTTGGCCGAAACAGAGGGCATATTGGATGTCTGGTCTGCCGCAATTTGGGACCCGATTCGCTGGTCTGATATACGCCGCACCATGGACGGCAACATGCAGCCTTATCCCTGGTACTTTGTAACTTTGCCTTGGGATCCTTTTCTGGTGGGATGGCAGAGTGCCATGGATCCGAGAATGAGGGACGGCGTGAGGCGGGAGAGACGGAGCAGGCCGTTTGCGGCGTGGTTTAGGATGATGGCGGCATCTCTCTTGGAATACACGGTTTCTTTGGTTACGACACCAGTTGCCATATTGGTGGTTCTCCTAAGACGGTAGACGAGGTTGTTGACAATCTCTTGTTTCTTGGGTCTAGATGTTCATTTTACAGGTACTATGGAAGGCAATAAGTAGAAATATAGTAGGTACTAAGTAAACAACCTGAAATAAACAAGTATCTATAACTTGAGCCCCTTTTTGGAACTACCAGCTGGCGGAGTGATGAGATTTGTTCAGCCAGATGAGGTAGTAGGTACCTTATCTAGAACCAAGTGGTGCCACAGCTGTTGGACAACTGGCAGCAGGAAGGAAAGCGGACAACGTTGTTCCTTCTCCGCGCCTTGATCATCACGTCACGCTTCGACGCGTTGAAGCAGCCGCGTCTCTTTTCCAACCTTTTCATGCAACTTCTACCGTCTGTTCCAACAGATCCATCATCGCGGCAAATCACTTCAACGGGAGGTCGACAAGGACAAAGGAGGTTGAAGTAAGGATCCAAGCATATACTTTGGCATCTCCTTCATCATTAGCATCGTCTTCTTCAGTCTATTGCATTTCATTTCCTCCATTTGTTGTAGAAACGGCATCTTTTCTTCGGGCTTCTCTTGCGAGTTTCTTCTTCTTTGCCGTCGCAGCTCGGCCCCCCCCCCTATTTACCATGTTTTACAGTCATGAGAGTAAGTCGCCAGCGATTCTCATCTAGCTGCTACAATTTACAACATACTGACATATCATACGCAGTTCTGAATAGCACCCAGTATGGTGTTGCTACTATTTGGTATGCACCTCAACTGCTCATCCGCGAGCTCTCTTCCGCTAACCATCATCATTATTATCCAGGCTGGTGGCCACTGTTGGCAAGGGAACCCAGAAGAGAGTGACCAAGAAGGCCATCCAAGAGGTCAACGTCCCCAAGGCGTGTGAAAAGATATTGGACCCTGGAGCCCCCCTTGCGCTCCGCCTTCAAGGAAACTTGCTCTACGGAGTGTCGCGTGTTTTCGCTCAGCAGTGCTCCTATGTCCTCACGGATGCTGAAAAGACACAGTCTGATATGGTGACATTTTTCCGCATCATTCAGACGAGTGAGACTGACCCACGGGCTGGAAAGACAAAGTAAGTTGGCAGAATCATGCACTCCCATTGGCAGTACCATAGCTAACTTGCCCTATCAAGGCGCCAGAATATCGTATTGGAGGATGACCCCAGCTTCGATCCGCTGGCTGCACTTCCCAACCTTGACCTTCTTCGATGGGATAGAGATCTAGTCTTACTTCCAAGCCAGGGTTCAGCGAGCAAGTTCTCCCAGATGACACCGCTCGGCACTGCCAGCCAAGGCAGTTCTTCGCCACGCCACCCCTCTGCACTCATCAACCTACAGCTACCACCCTCTTCACAGTCTGCCGCAACCTGCCGCCTTCCTTCAGATTTTGGCAATCTCAGCCCTTTGTTCGGTAGATCAATTCACCACGCAGACAGCATGGGTGAATTTCAACCCTTTGGTGATGATGAATTCCCGTCCATTTCGGGAATTGGCTTCGATTTCGACGCTGAAGGCAACCTCATCAGCATCCTCGACCAAGAGCCAGAGTTACCACCTCTTCCGATTCAAGTTCAAGCAAGCCCTGTGGTTGGTCTTGGACTACAACGTATAACCAAAGAGGCACGAAGAATCATCATGGGCGAAGAAGACGACCTGCTCGACTTTGGAGAAGAGCAACTACCAGGTAGAGAGGTGCTTCCAACGGTGGAATCGGTACAACAAGCGGAAGAGGCTCAGCAGCAAGTAGCCGAAACGGCAACGGCAGAGCCTGTTCGAGCGTCCACTAAGATGGCCAGATCCCGTCGAACAAATCTGCATACGATGGTAGACACAAGAATCACGCTTCATAGGCAAGAAATCAAGGATTGGGATCCACACTATGCTACAAACATGGCCTCTGTTCTCGGACAGCAGCAGAAATCGACTACTACCAAAGGTCAGGCGAAGAAGAATGCAATGGCGCTTCTCTATGACTATGGTATCGCTCATGTTGGAGCATACGAGAACGCAGCAGGCTTAGTTCACCCCTTGGCGGCCGATTTCGTTGGCATCTCGTTGAAAGCTCGCCTTCAGGGTCAAGAGCCAGATGAAATCGAGCAATCCGAGCCCAAGAAGCGAGGTCGACGCCGAAAGTCGGATGAGGCATTTGAGGACGAGCGAAGCTCTGAAGAGCGAAACACAAAGCAGCGAGTGGATGACGAAGTTGAGCTTGGGCGATGCGATAACCGCGACACCAACGACGACGCATACATCATATTCGATAATCATTCTATTCCTGAGATTGGAATGGATGCGGCGCCACCCATGGAAGATCGTCACTCTTCATCTATGATGCCTTGGAGCAGACCTGGCTCAGCTGTCCCAGGCTCATCTGTCCGAGGAAGCGCGCAGAAATCAAAAGTTACTCCGAGCCCATTGTTCAATCGTGGAAGCGCACTGGGCGCCATTGACCGCTATAGTGACCCTGCCGAGCCGCTCTTTGGAATGGACGACTTTGGTTCTCACGACTCATCTTTCCAGCTCGGTGGACCAGTTGGTCCCCTTGACTTTGATCATGACAACACGCAGATTTCAACTCAAGGTCTTGATGTGACTAGCCAAAATTTCTTGGGATATGTCACGGAACAGGCTGCAAAGACGGGTATCATTCCTGATCGGGATCCGAAAGGTCGTCGGTGGATTGAGTTTGAGGAGTTGGCTGAGACCGGCACCCATTCTAAAGCCGTTGCCGCTCAGGCTTTCCTACACGTGCTGTCACTGGCGACAAAGAAGATCATCTCAGTTCACCAAGATGGCGCGGCAGCCATGGAGCCTTTTGGAACCATTCGAATCGGAATCAATGTCGCCATGAGTAATGAAATACACGACGTCGAAATGGAATCTGATGATGAGCTTGCTTGATTTGGGCCCCCTGGTCGCAACGATTCTGGAGTTTGGGTTTAAATGGAGGAGCAGATATATGACCATTCTGCCATTTTGTTAACCGAATCTAATGAATTTTCAAGACTTAATGAGAGGGCCCTATTTGACAATGGCGTTTGGGAAACAAGGACGTTTTAGTTTCGCATTGGGACGAATCATGAGAACCCGCAGCCTCCCCCAGGACGGCATGGACGCAGGGATGGGTTTGGTTTTAGTGCCACGCGAGTTTTTCTCTTCTTGCTTCTATTTCCGGTGGTGGGAATTTCGAAAAGAATCTAAGAGCAAGATGGGAATGCACTCGCATATTACAGTTGCGTTCATAGTTATGGTGCGATCAAGACGACAGAAAGCCCGGCCTATGATAGCAGGATTGGTCAAGGAGGCACCACGGTTAGGGTTACGGTCAGGGCAAAGTATAGGGACGTTCATGGGTATATCATGGTTCATTTGATTCATATCTGGTAGCTAATTAATTATCACATTGGTCTTCGGCATCGGCGCCCTCCCGATCTGTGAATACTAGATACTCTGCAGATTCCTCTTCCGTAGCCGGAGCCGTAATCATTTCCCATGCGCTCCGAACAGGGTCCAGTACAGAGTCATTAAACGCAAGGTCCAGAGGTAGCAAGGAGAATACAGCAGATTTCCCATCAATGTTTACGGATGGAATGTCAAACCCAGTTTGTTCATAATACAATTGGTAGAGTGACTTGGGAGGCTCTTGGCCGCCCACAGAGAGGGAAGCCAAAAGGGATGAGAGCGCATTTCCAAGATGGGTTTGGGCATCTGGGCTTGTGAGAGTGCTAAGATATAATACGCCTGATGAACCATTAGCAAACTATCCGATGGAAGCGATATGAAAGACAAGAAATGCTAATGATGAGGGTGTGTATCAGGTTGTCAGAGGGGTTATCGTCAATGGGATTCAGCCAATGTAGATAAGTATTCGTTAAGGTTTTATCATCATAACACAGGCAGAGAATGAAGCGAGAGGAAAGACAAAGAGTGAAACTTACATTGTCCAGAAGGGCATTCACCGGCGTCACTTGAATGAGCCAGGACGTAGATGGGGTACTCGGATGAGACTCCGTCTTCGCCAAACGGTGTTCCAGCGGGAATCGCGACGACACCGACGGCTGGAGTCGGGGCACCATCAGTCGCTGCCTCAAAGAGCGTGGGTAGACCGGAGTTGACAATGGCCGTGAGTCTGCTCAGGCGGCGGCTTTCGCCTGCCGGCTTGCCCAGGGCTTTCACCAGGGCCTTTGACTTTATCGCCACGTCGTTTGTCAGGACCATGTCCAGCTCTTCGGGCATTTCGGCCGTGGGAGGGGCTCTTTGGACGTCCTTGATGCCAACGCCGAGCATGTAAACGGCGCCGCCGACGGCACCGGCTCGACAGCCGACTTGGGCAATCTCAGAGAGGCCGCCCCATTTGGGGTAAACAGCTGCAAAGCCCGCGCCAAAGACCCCCATAGAGGTAATATGGCGGTGAATAGCGGCCAGACCAGCCTCTGTCGATATCTTGCCATCCAAGCTGAGAGTCAGAGTGATGATGTACGCCTGCAGGGCGGCGTCAAGCTTAAACTCTGCCGCAAGAAAACTCGCCAGCGAGTCGCCTGCATGTGGCTTCCACACATCCGTCTGCGGCTCAGCGTTGTAGTCCAGCACAAACTTGAGGAACTTCATAAGCCCGCGCTTTGCTTTGACTGAAATCGTCGTGTTGGCAAACACGTCTTCTCGAGTCGAGGGTATGCGGCTGAGACTTGGAGCTGAAGACTCTGCGGACGAGGGCTGATAGATGTAAAACGAGCCAACGGCAAGAAACTCGAGCTGCCGAAAGGCTTTCGACGAGACCAGCTTCGACAGGAGCTCCGAGCGCGTATGGATCAGCTGCGGCGCCAGGGCGAGGGTGTAACCCCTCGGCGACAGGCTTTCGGGCCCGTCGGGACGAGTCACCCGCGCAGCTGCAAAAACGCCGTCGCCATCGCCGGACCGGCGCCCAGCAGCCCACTCGTCGACCTCGTGCAGGCTCAGGACCGCCTCGGCCTCGCCATAGTACTCGTTGGGATCGACGTGGAGGATGTTCTTGCCAGATCGCGACAGGGCACTTCACGAGACGAGGCTGGTCAGTCAGTTTGGAGGGCAAAAAAAAAGCCAAGCCGATGGAATCCGAAGCTTACAGGGCGAGAAGGGATTGCTGGAGCCCCGTGCCGCTGATCACTACATCCCACTTTGTGTCTGAGAGGGATTCCATGGTTCGGTTCGAAAGGAACGATGAAGAGAGGAAAAAAAAGAAAGAAGAAGAAAAGCAGAAACGGAGTTGGAAAAAATAGTTTCGTTTAAGTGTTGGCTACCTATGTAGCTAGCTAAAGGGTTTGGAAAGCGGTTTGAAGCTCAAGCGAAGTGGGGAGGTGGAATTTCGGATTAGCTAAGCCGAGGTGGCCTGTGCGTGCTCTGGGAGTGGCCTAAAAAATTGAGCTTCTGTTTTCTGACCTTTTTTCTTCTTCTTCTTTTCTTCTTCTCTATAGTGAACCCGCTTGTTGAATTTCTCACGTCATGTCTTTGGTACTTTATGTACGTGGCATCGCGGCTGAATTCGACTGGAGCGGTAGAGAGAGTCGTCGGCCGGTATCTACTGCCCTAGAATAAAGTCTGAAAGGGTGGTTCGAATGGTTGACACATGCCTGCTTTGATCCATGAAGTTTTTGTTTGTGCTTGACAGCTTGATTCTATTTATTCTGTACCCTCTATCCGGTACAATGTGCAAATTTTCCCAGTAGTACTACTAATAGTCGGTGCTTTATATGAGCTAGCCAACGGAACTTCCTGAAACGAAAATGGCTCTCAATGCTGGGACAGTTATAATATTATATGGTGTTCTAGATAGTTTCATCGGCTGCCAGTGATTGCCGATGCGAGCCCCTCCCACCGCTTACTTGCCCAGTCGAGGAACTCCTTCGACCCAAGTAGCTTCGCCGACATGACCGTTCCTCCGTGCTTCGAGATGGACAGGATTCGTCTTGAGCCGCCCGCGCAGTCAATGACAATTGTAACTGTCTCATTGCATAATGATTCCTCCAAAGTATCTGGGTCAGCCAGCATCCAGAATTTACCATCTGGAGCCTGGTCTTTCGTCTCTTTGCCTGTGAAAATGACTGCCGTGCAGGCAATGGGCATGGTTTCCACCGTGAGAGGCCTGGGATCTTTCCTGGAGCATATAATCATCTCTCTGTCTGGATCGTAGCGAGCCTGTGGTAGCTTGGTGTCGCGGAGAGCAGCCACGGTCGCTGCCCAAGCTGCATCAAACGGATTGCCGTCAAAGGAGATGAAGAAGAGATCGATATACAGAACCCAGTATGCCACCACAGCCGCTTCTCCTTCTTGCTGCTCATTCTCCCCCTCCTCTTCGTCATCGACCGGGACGGGAGCTTCTGCCGGTCGTTTGTGCCATATCCGCAAATCCTCAGCACGCAGCAGCTTGGAGCTGTGTAGAAGGGAGTAGATTCTGGTGCTCAATGTCTGGGCGAGGGTTGTGGGCGGACCGCCAGGCAAGAATTGTGGCGCTGATCCGGTGGCCAGTTCAATATTCGGAACCAACAAGTCGTATTCGGCCAGTTCTGTCTGTGTATTGGATGCGCGGAAGTTGGGGATGTGGTCTGTCAGGATTGTTTCGCCCCGAATTCCGCAAATGACAGTTGTATCCCCTGTCCGCACCAGGGCACTTCCGTGGGCATGTGATAAGCTGGAGAGATTGACTGTGGGTGTCCGGACCTCGAAAGGGGCTCGGCCATTGCTTCGCGCGGGTGGAACAGAGTCGTCGGATGGTTCAAGATTTGCGAGCAGATACGGATGAGGAGAGAGCTTAGCAAAGGTCGAGCGCGACAGGCCCACCTCGGGTGCCATGATGACGGTGATTCGGAAGACTTCGGCGTCGCTGATGGGTATAATCGAAAGACAGATGCAGGTTTACAATATCAGAACAAGGGCCGTATCGAGTGCGTCGTGTGTCTCGGGAGTTGTTCTCTGCGCCGCCGAGCCCCAAAAAGAAGGAAAACTTGAGCTCTCAGCCTTGCGGGTGGGGGAGCTTGGACAATTTGCAGCCAATGAAACGCGAGTGGAGCACAAGGCTGACGGAGGAGTCCATCTCGTCTCACCTGGCAGCTGGAGATTGCTTGGGAATTCGGAGATGCAGAGACGGGGGATGTCGATCGATTCCGTCGTTGCCGATTACTTTGTGCCGTGTATGGAGACGGTGGTTCGATATATACCCAACTGACGCGTCTCTCCAGGCTGGAATCATTATCAATCAGCAGCGCAGATCAAGTTAAAGAGCTGCTCGGACACAAAGTTTGACTTCCGATTGGTGCCACACGTGATTTGGCTGCGACGATGCCATAGGCATGGATGGCCGAGTGTCTACGTACGAGTCCGTATATTCCGGATGCAAGCAGATGCAGATTGCGCAGGGGGAGATGCATGCTTGACAACTTCTACAGTACATACAACAATCGGGTGATTCTCGCAGGACAAGGCACCCAGGCCAGGGGAAGAAGCATTTGCCGGACCACTTGCAGCAGCCAGCAGAGACGCACAAGCACAAGCACAGGCACAGGCACAGGCACAAGCAGCGCCAAACCTCAACACCACCAGCAACTGGGAAGAAAGGAAAAGCCCTGTGACACCCGGATTCATCCCACGCGATCAGTCAGACTCCGGCTGTTAGCGCTACCTGTGAGATTATCAGAATCTTGGCGGGCGATTCCCAGAAGCCTCATTTGCTCAGACCGTTGTCGGCCATCAAGTCATCCGGCGAATCACACGCCGTGTTTTGCCGCCCATGTCCACGACCGTTCCCCCTCGCCCTGCCGCCCGTCGAATCACGGTGCAGAGTGCATATGGCGCACTAGATCCGTCACCAACAGCCTCTGGAGCGCCGTTTTTACTTGCCCAAACGGCCCTCGATTGGGAGCTGCGGGAGCTCTTGAGTGGCTCGATGAAGAAATCTGGGCTTCCCCCATTCGCGCTGGTCTTGATGGCTTGGTGACCGGGTTTGCGCCGTCCCCGAGACGGTAATCAACAGTGGGTTTGTGGGATAATTTCTCGGAGTCTACTTCTTCACCAGGACGGGGACTGTGTGTATCGTCACCAACGAATACGGTGCAGCATGGAGCCCTTGTCAGCAAACTTGTGGATCTTGTGGCGGACACGACTCCGTACAGTTGTGTTCCTGAGGATGGGGATGGGCATGATGGACGCAGCATGAGCATGGAGCGCCACCAAAGACATGAATCGACTTTGTTCGCTAGCTTCCGCCGTGCTCATGCAGACGAACCCTTGCTCGATCATCAACCGTCTGCCGAGCAGCCAGTCGCCCCGCCCGCTAGCAAATTCGTCCTGTTGCCGTTGCCTGCTTGGGGCACACCATGTCGAGATTGCGGTAGCTTGACCTGCATGCCGCCTCGTTCATCACCTTGCCTGTCACATTGGGCCGCGCCAACTCGTGCTCGGCGTGCGCAATCCCCGGATGCTCAAGCGACCAATCTCGCGGCCTGCCCAGCCGCTGGGGGAGGCCTGATTGCGTCCCATCACGGCTCTTGTCTGTCTGCTTTGGTCCGGACTATTGAACGATTCAGGCCATGTCGGCCGTTGCCCGCATGGCGATTTGGCGTGTCACCAAACATCTGATGCTATGCTCGTTCGTATCTTTCCCGCGCTTGTCCTTGTCACCCAGGCTTTTGCTTGCAGCCGTCACTAGCCCATCGTTGATGTGATCCACCGACTTAAAAATCCCTGTATCACTCGCTCCGTAGCGAGTGCAGGGAGGAGGGAAGCTCTTTGAGCCATGTCTTTGCTTTATATCCTCACGGGCCGCCGCATTCAGCCCCCCACCGCTCATCAGTTGTTGATCAATCTTTGCCATCTCACTGCCCGGCTCTCTCGTTCATCTATATCCTTGGGCTTTGTTTCGTTTCGAGGAGTCTGGTACTGCTCGTTATGACTCCAGAGCGCGCTGCGGTTTCATAGCCACTCATTCACGGCAGCAAGTCCTGATCGGCGGGCTGTAAGCGCCTGGCTGCCATGCGATAGAAGCATTCGCCGTCCTTGGCCCAGGTTGAAACCGCGGGCCTTCTCGTTACCTACGTCCCACGCAACCACGGGGGTAATACCGCGCCCAACTCCAACTCCCATTCGTACCTCGTCCGCCACGTTTTTGCAACGACGCGGCTGAAGCAGCTGCAGCCGTTTCCTGCTATCCATCATGGCACCCCATATGCAGGAGCTCACCACCACCCAGGCCACGCGAAGCGTTTCCGACGTTGTCAAGCGGCTGTTGATTCCTTTGACTCCTACAAGCCCACCGGGCCTTGTTCAGGCGGATACAGTCGATCCTTGGTCCAAGGCCGGCAAATATGCTCTCGGGTGGACATATTTCGCGGCTGCCCTCTCGGGCTGCATCTTCTTGGTTCGCATGTGGCACTTTTGGCAAGACAAGATTCGCCAGGCCATTTACAAACAGCAGATAGAGTCACACTACCAAGAGACTTACAATGTCGACTCCAATTTCGTCCAGGCCGCCATTCGCACTGGCATGGCCCAGGAGTTCTTCCCCGACGGTAACCCTATGGGTGAAAAGTTCCGCCCCAAGGCTCACCTCTCGTCCATTGGATTTGTCAACGACACATTAGCCTTGTTTCGATGGATTTTCTATAGATCTGTTCCAGATATCGTCATCGGAAAGCACCGGTTTACCTTCTCATCGCTCTCCGTGCTCGCGACGACATTCATCGCCTTTGCCTTTGCCACCCTCTACACCTTCCTCCAGCAGCCGCTCTACTGGGAGAGCATTCGGTTTGGAGCGCCGCCCGTGGCCATCAGGGCTGGCATGCTTTCCATCGCATTGACTCCGTGGATCATTGCGACTGGCATGAAGACAAACGTACTGACCATGTTGCTTGGCATTGGACCAGAGCGGCTAAACGTCTTTCACCGATGGCTCAGCTACCTTTGTCTATTCCTTTCATTGATTCACATGATCCCGTTCTATGTTCAACCTGTATGGGAAGATAATGGCATGTCAGTCTGGGCCTCAACTTTTCCTCCTTCAAAGGGCATAATTTACGGCACGGGAATTGCCTGTATCGTTCCGCTGCTTTGGCTCAACGTGGCCTCTCTCCCCTGGATTCGGAGAGTTGCCTACGAATCATTTGTTATCCTTCACGTCCCGGTCGGCGTCCTCTACGTTGGGGTGTTGTTCTGGCACACAGCCAACCGGCTCCTCACTTGGGACTACCTCTATGCCACTGTGGCCATCTTTGGGGCCTGCAATATCTTGCGCGTCTTTAAACTGAACTGGGCATGGCCTGGACGACTGTCCTTTATGGTTGGTGATGAGGCCGCAATCACCCTCATGGCCGAAAACGCCATCAAGGTCACCATTCCCACTCAGATGAGATGGAAGCCTGGTCAATACGTCTATCTTCGAATGCCTGGCATCTCATTCTTCGATAACCACCCATTCACTATTTCATCCCTCTGCAGCGAGGATTTCCCTTCTGAATACGGAGAAAACTATCGGGATTGCATCCTCCTATTCAAGGCCTATAGCGGATTCACGCGCAAAGTCCTAGACACCGCCATCGAGAAAGGCCCTTTCCATACGTACCGTGCGTTTTTGGATGGTCCCTACGGCGGCATGCGGCGCGATCTGGCCGCTTTTGACACTTGCATCCTCATTGCTGGCGGAAGCGGCATCACGTCATTGATATCTCAGCTTCTCAACCTGGTGAAGCGAATGCGAGATGGCAAGGCCATCACTAGAAAGGTCGTCGTCGTCTGGGCCATGAAGAAGTTCGAAGACATGGACTGGTTCCGAGAGGAGCTGCGCATCTGCCGCGAATCCGCTCCTCCTGAGAGCGTAAGCTGTAAATTCTTTGTCACTACAGCCGTGCGGAACCGACACGGGCAGCAAATGACTGCTCCCATAAACGGATCCAACACCCGGGCCTTGACCCATAAGCTTCACGATAAACTAGACGGCTTTGTCGCAGGCATTGCCTCGAAGCGAAACTCGGCCTTTATTCAGGCCGAGGCACAGGGAGACCCGGAGCGAGAGCGCGAACTTCGCGAAGAGAATGAGGATCGCATCACGGCCTTGCCACAACAAAAGTACCTGCAACCTCATCAATATCCCCCGCCACCACCTCTCCCTCACCCATCCTCTAATGAATCACCGATGAGCCAGGGTGCCCTTTTTGAAGATAATTTGGGCAACCTCAACGAGAATGGCTATCCCGAGGATAAAAAGCAGCACGATGCGCCACTAGAGGAGCCCGAGGCCCAACCCCAGCCCCATCCCATCGCGGTCCCTGAGCTGGCGCATTTGTACAACTCTGGCATTCCTGCTGGTGGCCCTAGCGATCGTCCGGTATCGACCTTTGGCCCACCAGCCGGGTTCGACTTTGGGTTCCCGGAGACTCCCACCGAATTCCAAAAAAACCTTATGCGATCTGCGTTCCCCATGCCGCACCAAATGACGGAAGACGGTTGGACTGTCGAGTACGGTCGCCCCTCCCTTGGATACATGCTCAAGCAATGGGCCACAGGTGGGCCCGAGGGCAGAGGCATCTTGGGCCGGAGGACCGCCGTCTTTGTATGTGGTCCTCCGGGGATGAGAGTGGGCGTGGCCAACACAGTGGCGAAGCTCCAGGCAGAGATTTGGGGCGACGACGAGCTGGAAGAGATATTTTTGCATACGGAGAACTATGCTCTATAGGGTGGGCGGTGTCTCCGCGTGTGTATCTGTAGATATAATGACGATGAGGCGGAGGATCATGATTGATGTATATTCTTTTTGAAGTCACGAACTGGCTCGAGAGGCCCCTGAGATACCACTTGTATATAGCAACATGCACATATTTTCCTGGATTCATGAGCGTTGATCAAGATGTTTTATGCTTACATATGATTTGCTCTCTGTTGTGTCTTTTGCCTTGTTAGTCTCTTTACTAGCAGTCTATGTTCTCTCCATGGCTCTCAGTTCCATCCAACAGGGAAAAATATAGGATTACACAAATATTCTGTCGCTATGAATCCTTCAAATTGAAGCTCGCTATTGCGTTTGTTACAAACGCGACGCTCTTTGTGCCTGCTCTGGATGGTCCGGGTGCTGATGGGCACCTGCGTCGAGTGGGTTGGTTGGTTACCCGCCAAAGTAGATGAAGATGTTTTGAGCAAAGTGTCTTTCGTGTCGTTGTTACAACGTGATTTTGTGCTTGATTTGTAGATGGATCAAGACTGGAACAGACACGGCAATGAAACAGATTTTACGCAGTTGTCTTTTCACACTCAGGTATACTTCGATGCATTCAGTTTATTGACATCATCAACCCGGCCGCCCCGGTACGAGCTGGTAGAGTCGTTACTCCCCAAGTACCTATATGTACCTACTTTACAGGTAACCGACAGCGATCCGTCATTGTTTGTTTTGAATTCTGTCTTTGAGCTAGTCAGGCACTATCAATCGGCACCTTGATAGTATGCCGCGGCCGATAGAGTTTGTCATGGACGAACCTTCCGAGAACCTTGATGGCTGCGTGCCTTTGTCGTCACATGCGGCTCTTCCGTACTTAACCTATACAACCACGAGTATGCGGCTTTGTTGACAACCTCGTGCACAATTTTTTGGGACTTTTTATAAAAAAAGAAGCGATTAAATCAACGTCTTATTTAATCAGATTATTCTCTCTCACGCGACACCATGCACGACCTCGAAGACAGCACGATGCACAAGATCGAGAAGGGGTGGAGCATTGCCACGAAATGTTCCAAAGAGCGGTTGACACGAGTATATGGCTGGACAGACGATGAGTATTCCGTTGCTATGCATCAAGGGCTTGTGATGCTGGAGACGGTGTGCACGTTTGTGCATGGAGGTGTCAAATCAGGGCAATACAAGTATGTGTCAAGTTGCATGTTATTTTGCGATATTCCTCGTTGCTGACTCTTGGGTTTCTCTTTCTAGATTACCAGTCGACTTCTGGAAGATGCTCCTCGCCGAGTATGGCATCGTTGTGTATCCGTCGGCCATGACAGAGTGTTTGGCCCCCTCAGGGGTAGGTTCGAGCCAGACTTTTACAGAGATATACAGCGAACACATTGGTTTGTCGATTCGATTTGAAACTGCACTTCCAATTGCTCAAAGATACTAACTTTGCCTTCTGCAACAGTTATGCTAGGGAAGCGCGACTCCAGTCGTCCGCCGTTGTGCCCGTTTGAATATCTAAAAGAGCCGTTACCCGTGTACGAAAAATGAGAGGGCGAGACTTGCAAACAGCTGGGAATGGGTTTCATGATTAACATAGCGGGGGATATATCACAATTACTCATCTTTGAGAGATGACAGCGGCAGAGAAGCAACAGGATAGAAGAAATATAGAATCACTCATGAATCCACCTTTTGTCCCATGGCACCATCCCGATTTGCCCTCCATACGCCCTCCTCGCCTTCAAATTCTTCCTTCTTCCATACCTCTACCCTAGATTTGCATGCTTCGAGGGCCTCCTCCCCTGCCCTCCACGCAGCTTGCCGATGTGGTGACGAGACTGCGATGAGGATGCTCTCTTCGCCAATGGGTACGGTGCCCAAGCGATGGATCATGGAGATGCCCTTGAGCCCGTGCTTGCTGAGGATGTCCTTGCAGATGGCCAACATTGTCCGCAGGGCTAGCTTGTTATAGGCTGTGTACTGGAGTTCCTTTACTGGCTTCCCGGCAAAGTTATCTCGCGTTGTTCCTATTCAGATGTGATTAGCGAGAGAGTGGCCCAACATGAGATATCAGACCGTAACGTTGCAATAAGTGAGCCACCCACCTGCAAACAAGACAATGGCGCCGGCCGCGGGACTGCGGACTTTGTCCATGGCCTGCTGGATGTTGAGATAATCGTGGGTCAGGCCCACGTAGCAGCCGTCTTCAGACATGTCCCAGATGGTATTTGCGTCGTCATCTTTGATATCTCCCATGGCTAGTGGCGAACGAAATACGCTCGGGTTTGTGAGTGTTGCAGAGGGTTGAGACAGAGCTCGATCAACGATGAATGATATCCAAAACAAACGCCCGATAATCCCAAACAGAAAAAGGCAAAGACAATGAAATGCAGATGTAATGGAGAAGATGAGACAGACGATATATAAAGATGAGATGTGGTAAAAGATTATATACTGGCTATGGTTTACGAGATGCCGTTTGCGAAGGTTTTGGAGTGGCGTAGGACGGCAGAACCAAGCAGGTACTTTATCGTGCAGCAATAGATGGCGGGGGGCTGATGTACCTACAGCAGGCCTTTGGTTAGTAGGTAGATGCAGCGGCTGAGTAAGCGCCAGCTCTTTTAAGGTTCAGCTCCTACTAATGCTGCAAAATAAGGTGGGACTTCTCTTTTGACTGTTGCAACATCCCACCATGTGACTTGAACTTGAACTTCATCTTGCAGCTTCGTCGACAAGGCTATTCGCTCTCTTTTACTTCCTTTCCTCTACACCATTATCATCATAGGCTCTCCCCCTCAGAATCGTGCCTGATTGGCCTCTGTCGTTATGCGCGACGACCAGCACGCACGATCCCCAGACCGGGGCAGAGATCGTGAAGCCGCCCGCGACTCTCGCCATGCTCGATCGAGAGACAGAGACCGAGACCGAGACAGAGACCGAGACCGAGACAGAGACAGAGACAGGGATTACTACTACGACGACCACCAACCATCGCGGCAGGGTAAAGACACGGCCCGCGCACTCATAGGAGATTGAAATACAGTTACAGGGCTATTTACCTATGGCTGATGAATTGAGCTTGACGGCTAACTTGCCCACGGGACAACGAGGCTATTCACAGTCTCCATCCAGGGACGACGACATGTACGGCAACGCGTGGGACCGGCGCGACCATCACTCCCGGCCGCATCGCCAGCCTCCCTCCGCTGCGCCAGAATACCGAGACGCTCATGACGCGCGCCCGAGGCGGAGCCTGAGCCCTCGTGACTGGAGCCATGACAACCAAGGCAGAATGTATAACGATGACTATCACCGCGGGCGTCATGACCAAGATAGAGGCTACGACTATGGCTCCTCCTCTTCCTACCGTGAGAGGAGATCCTACAACTCTCGATCGCCACAGGGAGACTATTACAGCAGGAGTCGTTCCCGCAGTCCCGCCAGAGAAGGTGGTCGATTGAGAGAGGCTGGGCTGCCAAGTGATACCGTTATCTTCGAAGGGTTGCCTGTCAGGGTAGACGCAATGGAGGTTCGTACTTTGCGATTATTGTATCGAGAAAGTGTGTGTCTGACGAGAATCTCTGTCTAGTTACGAGAGAGCATTATCCGCGATTGCATTTCCGACAACTACTCTCTTGTCGATGTTCGGATAACCTATTCTAAAGGCATGTGCCCTTGCACTCTAACTCTTGTCAATGTCCATTCCTAACACTGCACAAAGGAAAGCGCCGAGCCTTTATCCAGTTTGAGGAAGTTGATCATGCAGCCGCCTTTGTCAATGAAAACTTCCCCAAAGTCCTCATCACACTACCTCACACGACTGATGAAGTCCCAGATGGCAGAATCAGCGCCTACATCCACTTTGCCCATCGCAGGGAGGACGCGGAGACGCGCGCTTCCGGTGGTGGTGGTGGTGGTGGCCAATGGATCTGCCAACCTGTAAGATTCCCCTCTGCCAGGAGACGCAATCTATAGCTATAACTAACAATTACGCAGTGCGGCTTCAACAACTACTCTTCGCGCACCAAATGCAAGCGCTGTGGCTCATCTCCATCATGTGCGTCCGATTTGATACTGCTTCTCGGTGGCTGGCTGCTGACGTATAATCCTTAGCTTCCACAATGCGATTAAGCCTAAATCCCGCTGCTGATGCTGCCGAGGCGCCTACCCAGATCCTGGTGGTCTATCCCCTGACTGCCTTTGTCGACGAGGACATGTTCGCTACAGACATGAAGCGTCTAGAACTTGAAAAGCTTGACCCAGCCAGCCAGAAGCTGGTACCAGGCTCCAAGCTCCAGTCAACTGCCCCAGCTGATCGTGCTGCTCGGACTGGTGCACGCCCGGGGTCGCTCCACCGCGTATTCTTAATGCGCGATCCGAATACAGGAGAGTCCGTCAAGTATGGCTTTGCTGAGTTTTGGACCTTGCAGGACGCTGTCGATGCCATGGCTAAAATCAAGCTGCTCCCATCCTTCACTGTTGCGGCTTGTGCTGTCAACGTGTCTCACATTCATATGGGCGTCTTTGTCCCAGAGGAACGTGAGGTTACTCCCGAGACCGAACGACTTTCCTTTACCCCCTTGTTCAACACCACCCTCCGCGTCCGGTATCGTGATTTGCGAGCCTACCCCAGCCAGAAACTCCTATCTGCTGAGCCCCCTGAGGCTATAAATACAGACGGAGAGCCAAAGGGGAGTGATCCGAGTGGAAACAACAAGAAACCGAAGAAGAGAAAGGCAGATGACCCTCAAGGTGCTGCTGCCGCCAAGAGGGCAGTCCCTGCGATGGCTGGTCATATGGCTTTATGGCAGAAGAAGCATGAAGAGATTCACACAGGGGAGTCCAACGACAAGACCGCTGCTAAGCCACCACCACCCGTCATAAAGAGCTCAAAGGAAGCGCCCATCAAGTTTTCGTTTACTGGAGCATCAATGCAGGCCTCGGGCCCTTCAGCGGTTTCGTCAGTCCCAGTCCATCCTGCACCTCCCGCACCCTCTTCCGCACCTCCACCTCCGCCGGAGGAACAAAATAGCGACAACATGCCTGAAGCCAAGCCTGACGTTCAGGCTAAAGAAGAAAAGCCAATCACCCCGTATGCGGACCGAGACAAGCTACAATGTCTTCTTTGCATGCGTAAATTCAAATCACTAGACGAGCTACGTCGCCATTCAAATTCGCAGCTCCATGCAGAGAAGCTGCTCGATGAGCAGTCCGTCAAGAACGCGGTAGAGAGGTTGAGTAAACGAGGGATCCGGCTACCAAAACAAACCGAAGCCGGTGATGAATTCGGCGCCACGGCACCACAATACCGAGACAGGGCCAAGGAACGACGCGAGCAGTGGAACCAACCTAAGAAACCGCCGCCTGCTCCCGCGGAGAAGAGCGCTTCTGGGTCACAGAAGGACCAAGGCAAGGCTCCTGTGCAGGAGAAGGCTCCGGCGCAGTCTAAAGGCGCTGGCATGCTTGCCAAGATGGGCTGGATGTCTGGCAGCGGCTTGGGTGCCAATGCTGAGGGGCGCACCGAGAGCATCGTCACCCACGTGTATCGGCAAGGCGTGGGCCTTGGGGCCGAAGGTGCGAATCTGGGAAACGCGCAGGCTTTGGGAGAGAGCAGGACGCTCAACAAGCGCAAGGACTATGTTGATGCCGTCAATGACCGGGCGAGAGAGCGGTTCTTCAACGAGTTTGGAGAGAAGAAGGATGATGAGCAGAACAGCGAGGACAAGAAAGAGGAGTGAAGGACAGGTTATTGGATGAAAATGTTTCTGGAACATACACAAAGGCGTTTGAAGACTCGAATACACTTCTAGGCAGCAAATATAATGACTGCTCTTTTTTTTTCATCTTCTTTCTTTTCCTCTCTTCGCAATGGGGCTTCAAGATTTGAACTTGCTTCATTCCAAAGCTATGTTGCATTCTCGAGACTACTTGGCTTCATGGGCTAGTCATTGAGAGCTAGGCAAAGGATTCCATGTAGGATTATCGTAGAGTCAATATCAAAAGATAAATTACTGGTACTGTGTGCTTCAAGATTGCTTTGGTGCGCTAGTAATATCACTCGTGTATTCAAGTGATGGACTTGCTTGCTTGTACCCAAGAAATCCACCGTTGCTACGGTATATTCCCCCGGCCGTTTCGTAAATGTACATTAAGTCTGATATCTCGTAGATTCGCTGTAACCCCATAAATCATCCCGCCATCTTATTAAAACCCCGTTTGCTTTATGAAAAATAGAAGAATATTTCCCCCGTTTTGGTAATCGCATGGCCTCTATAGAGCACTCATCATCATGGAGAGAGCCACGGCGACGGTTCCCGCCAGGGTAATCGAAATGGTAGGATAGAGAGCAGAGCCGGCAGAGTCTTGTGAATTGTCAGAATTGCTAGTCTCACTAGGGTTTCCAGGGTTCCCAGAACTGGTAGAATCTCCAGAGTCTTCAGAACTGCCTGGTTCGGTGGAACTAGGGGTAGATGAATTACCTGAATCGTCAGCGCCTGTAGAAACAGGGCCAGGGATTGACTTTGAGCCTTCCTGGAACTCCATAATGTTGCTGGTTGTCGAGTTGAGAGTTGCCTGAGCAATGCCAATCTGCTTGTTCTGCAAGTCGTAGACGACATATGCAGACCTTAGGAAGGTGTCGCCGAGCAAGATGAACTGGTCGCTTGTGATGCCGTAGCCTTCCGTTGAACTCATGCCAAACGTGCAGACTCCGCTCCATCCCTTGAACAAATTGGACAGAGTGGGGTCCGCCTTGATGTCGTCTTGTACCGAGGCGAGATTGTTAATAATCATTTCATCAATGGGCACTTTGATCGTCTTGTTGCTGAATTGGAAGTCAAAGGTATCCTTGGAGTCTGCTTTGCCGCAATCAACAAAAGGGATGGGGACTCCTCGGATGTTGAGGACGCCGTACTTCTTCCAGAGGGCCTGCACAACAGCATCTGGAAGGAGACTGATTGTTGAGCCGGAATCCAGAATGGCACTGCCATTGACGGCAGGGGTATCGACGGCGGAGGCTTTGAACCCATTCAACTGAACGTTGTACATGACGATATCCTGAGTCTTGGCAATACTCGCGGGCAGGGGCTGAAGGGGGAGAGTGGCGAGGCCGTCGTGGAACTTGTCGGTGTCGACACCGCCAAAGAGTATAGCACCCTGGTTGGTTTGCAGGTCATTGAGGTAGAGACTGAATGCCGGCACAGGAATGACATTTTGGGATACCATGTTGTCGATGATGGTGGGATACTTTACGTCGGCCGAGACGGCCTCCTTGAATCCCAGACCCATGATGCCTGTACCACGAACGGAGATGAGGGCTAAGCCCAGCTGTTGGCTCTTGACAGTCGCGTTACCAATGGTAACTGTATCCTTGAAGTAAGTGCCCTGAATCCTGCGGCCATCAAGGTAGCTGATATCGAAGTCTTCTGTGCTCGACTTGTAGGAAGAACTACGAGACGGATTAACTAGAATAACATGAGAAGTCAGCGGAGGGATTCACACGAATACTGGAGAAATAGAAAGGATCGCTAGCTGGCTTACATTGTTTGTAACAGAATTCCCCGACCGATTGCTGTACTGATGGATCTGTGCAGAGATCTGCCCTGACTGAATTGACCCAGGTATCACTGCTACCGGTATCGAGAAGGAAGCTCAGCTTCTGGGGAGGCGTGCCGATGCTGAACTCGGCATAATAGCCACCCCCAGTGATGTTGTTGAGCGCGTCAAGACTAATACTGCCATCGCGACGGAGTAATGAGGGAGAGGGATCACTGCTGAGATATCGCTTCTCAATGGGGACATGGAGAATGCCCGCGGAAACGGAGCCAGCGGCGATGAGGCCGGCCAGCGAGAGGTACTGGGCAGACGAGCGCATTGTGAAGGGCGCAAGGGAAAAAACAAACGGAGGAACTGAGCTCAATGCTGTGATGATAGCCGAAGAAGAGGCCGAAGATGGCAGAGCAGACTAGATTCTCTTTCGTTTGCCTGGTGTCATGGACAGGCGAAAAAGGGCGGAAACTGTTTGGGACTCCTTAGTATTTAAGCATAGATTTAGGAACTGCGGCGATTGCCTGAAGGAGCTGAAAGACCATCATCTCTCGTTTGGGGCCTCATCCCTGCCACTGCAGGAGGCTAGAACGACTCGGGGATGGGGAGGCCACGCTCGAGACCCAGCAGCCCTGCCTATGGTCGAGTGGTACGGGAAGGGCCCCATGAGTCTAATTGTCTTGTGCCGTGCGACGACAATAGCAGAGTTGAGCTTGACTGAGCGAGACATTTCTTCCCGGTGGGACGGTGCCATGTATCAGAACTTGCAGTAGCCTGGCGCCCAATGCTGGTAGCCGCCCATCAGCAAGCAGCATGAGAGCATCAGGGGGAGTCTCGATGACCGTCTCGAATTGTGCCAGAGCCGCAGCTAGCTCGACAGACGGGGCAGCGTAGCATGGCTCCCAAGCCTTGGCAAATCCTCCTGGAGCTGAAGCGCCACGTCGATCTAGCCAAGCAGCAAATTGACCGGAAGCAATTTTCCGCCGTCGTGCAAAAGAGCCAATGCAAAGCAGCTACTAGTGGTCTATTGGGTTGAAGGTGCCTTGGCTGCGCCACAACCCCAGGCCAAGCTGCCGAGCTGCAGTAGGGACAATTTTCGTTTGCGAGGCGAGTGAGTCAATGGGTCGGGAATTGCACGAGTAGCTGCCCAACTTGGCGACGGACTGCTATGGGGGGTTTGTGCGTTATCGTGCTCGTCCCGAAAGGGTAATTGCCGATTGACATGAAGAATGAACGGCGCGTTACGCGGAAAAGAAAAGAGAGAGATGAAGAGAAAGAAAAGAAATTGAAGTTGTGGGGAGAAGGATTTTGCAAAGGACGTTTGCTTAGGTAGAGGTTGTGATTAGCCTCGGCGTCGGAATATGGCATTCCGTACCTTCCTCCAGAGAGGAGTGAAGTTATACTACTAGGAGGTACCTACCTGTAGTACTGCGCCTCTATTTGATAGTACATTGAACATGTATCTACAGCAGCACTTTGAATTGTTACACGTGAAATATTGGCTCCAAAGTAAACGAGGCGGAATGTTCACATGGTGTATGCAAACATCTTTTGGTTGCTATTTTTGGAACGGATGGGCTGTTTGGCTACTGCTGTGCTGCTAGATCCTAGCATGTGCCTGTGCCTGTGCCGAAGGAGTGTAGCTGCGGCTGAATCTGCCTCATGTGCTGGGCTGGGCAATAACAAATTGAGACCAACGAAATGCCGGTGTTTGGCGCATTGAGGCTGAATACATACTCGTACATGTATCCGGGATGCTGTATGCATCTTGTTGCCAGTAGGCGAACGAGTTGAATGCTGGCAAAGCAGAGGACAGAAAAAAAACAAGACCGAGAAGATTACGACCTATTCTTTAAGCATCTGCTACTATATCTATGTTTTCTCCAGTATTTGCTACTACATCTACACTTCTTTAATGACAGCTGCTATGTCTATGTTTCTCTAGTAAATCCTGCTACGATTATACCAAGGTCTATGTGAACACGCAGATAAACTCTGCCATCATTTGATACACCAATGACACCCTTCTTTTATAGTTAAGACCACCACTTGTCGCTAGCTTAAAATCATCAAAAACCAGTAGAACAATCGCCTTGACTCAGTCCAGGTATCTCATCTCGCCCCTGCCTGCCCTTCCAAATACGCCGAAAAAAAAAAAGAAACAGATAAAAAAGACTCATCACGTCTAATGTCCGAGACCGCCGCCAGATGCTGGAAAGAGCTGCCCGTAGCTAGGAGGAGGAGCCTCAGAGCCCTCCAGATCACTTGTCGTATTCCTCCTCCACCACTGGAAATCCATTGGCGGGCGAGTCATCTCAGGGGCTGCCAACGTCCAGAACTCCTCATCATACGGCTTATCCAGATACAGAGGCACCCTCGGAGCATGCCTCTCCCCATGTTCATACCCGTTCGCCCACACAATGGTGTAAACCCTCGCCCGCTGCGTAATCTCGGACCAGCTCACGACATCGGGGTCATATGAATCCGGTCCGAGCAAGACCGCCGTAGCCTTTGCCGCATAATACACATCTTGGACGAGCTTCCCCTCCCAGGTGATGTGGCCGGGCTGGACAGTCATGTGCGAATAATCAGTGACGGTATCCCACTCGAACGACACCTCGGGATCGTGCAGCCTCGAGAAAATGTCCCGGACTTTTGCTAGGTCGCGGTTGGCAGTCAAGAGGCCCCAGAATCTCCGCACGGACAGGGCGTCTCTGAACTTGATCGCCGGCCTGTTTCTATCGTAATTCTCAGTGTTTGCGTGGTGAGATTCGATTGTCGACATGCATTTATCGCACCAGCCGATGAGAAGTTTGAGAACCGTGGGTGGCTTGTTACTGCAGGGCTTGTAGTCTTCTGTGTGTTTGATTGGGCGTGCCTTTGAACAGTGGACGTACTCGTTGCGGGACCAACACATGCAAACCGTGTAGTGGCATTTGGCGAGGCGACACATGATGGGATGTTTTGGTGATGGTGAAGTCGGGGAGTGAGAAGTGTGGGGGAGAGGTTGTTGGCAGTGAGATGTCAAGGAGAAATGGGTGATTTTGGCTGTTGGTGGCTGCATGTAGACCGAGATTCAGAGGCTCTTATTGTGAGAGAGACTGGACATGAAACGACGCGTGAACGAAGTGGGGGCTTTGTCTTGTAGAATCCAACAACTGAACAAAAAACAGTGTTGCATTGGTGAATATACTCTGAAACCAACAGTTTATTGTTAGTCTGAACAATGAATGGGCTTGTTGTAGACCCAAACAGTTCATGTATGTAGTAGCTCTTGTGGACTCGAACTCAAACATCAAGCAAACCACCTTATAAGCAGCCAATTAGAAAAGTGTAGCAGTTCAAATATGAACCCAAATCTCGTTCCTGTCCACGCTGTAAAAGAAAAACGCCATGATCCCCCCATGTTTCTTTATCCTAATCCAAAGAGCTCTCTCTCATCGTTCAAATCTTGGATCCCCTCTCGGCCTCGTCCTGCTGCAACCGAACAACGCCCTGGTTATCTCAATGTCAGTTCTTTCTTCATTCATCATCATCAAACACAAAAACAGAAAGAAGAAAAAAGAACTCACCTCCTGCACGCAACTCGCCAACAACGTGCCGTCCGCCGCATAGATCCGCTGCATCACAAGCCCCCTCCCATCTCCGCTCCACGGGCTCTCTATCTCCGAAAACATCCACTCGTCCGCCCTCACCCGCTTCGGCTCGTGAAAGTAGATGCTGTGGTCCAGGCTCACCAGCATCCCGACCCGCGGCCTCCCCGCCCAGTCCTCCAACCTGCTGCCCATGCCCTCAAACTCGAGAAACTGCCGCATTCTGTCGCCCTCGGCGTCCGGCAGCTCCGCGACCTGCTCCGGCGTCCGGCCCATCCGCCACAGCCGGTGGATGCGCGACACCGTGCCGATGAAGTAGCTGTCCGAGACGTACGCCAGCGCGTTGAGGTGCGCCTGGTGCCCTCCCGCCGCCGAGATCCGGCCCCGGCAGCGATGCCACTGCCGCGCCCTGCGCTGGTCCGGCCGGGCATCGGCGACCCTGAGCTCGATGCGGCGGCTCCTGAACGGCCCGGCCCGGTCCCAGAGCGCATCGCCTTCCGTGTCCCAGCTCGGGTCCGGCTTCTCGACGTCCGGCAGCGCCGCCGCGTGTTGGATCTGCTTGGCGCCGCCGCTGTTCTCGCGCACGAAGCTGATGGTCGTCGTGAAGATGCAGTTGCCCTTCTGCCGCGCCTGCACCGTCCGCGTCGCAAACGACCGCCCGTCGCGCACCCGCTCGACGTGGTACATGATGGGGATCGTCGCGGAACCAGCCAGCAGGAAATAGCAGTGGCACGAGTGCACCAGGAAGTCGTCGCGCACCGTCAGCTGGGCTGCGGCCAGGCTCTGCGCAATCACGGCGCCTCCATAGACGCCTCGCGCGCCGGGGGGCAGCCACAGCGGCCGTGTGTTGGTGAAGATGTCCTGTTGGCAACAAGGTCGTTTAGCTTTCACGATGGGCTTCCTTTGAGGATTCTCTCGTCTTCTTACCGGGCCCAACACCGCCAGCGGCGTCACCTCGACCGTGTTCTCGATGGGCGCCTTGCTCGCATCCGGCTCCGGAGGCCGTAGCAGCGTCGTGCGCTTGTCCAACACTTTTTCCGTCCCCTCCAACTTGGTGTCTTTATCGCTGTCACTCATCTTTGTATTGTCGGCTAGACTTTTTCAAAGGGGCTTCATATCTATTGAAGAACAAGATGGATCCAAAACAATTGCTACCCACGTATACTTATTTAAAACAGAAAAGACAAAAAATAGAGGGAAAAGAAAACAAAACAGATTGAACTCAAGTGTCTCGGGATTCGAGTCAAGTCCTCAGGGGGGGGGGGGTCTCACTTGACGTCAGGCTCTGCAGAATTGCCTCGGCTCAGCCCTGCCTCAAGCTAACCAACGAACTGCCAGACCATCCGTATCCCCAACCAACGAACCGAGTACGGAAACAAAAAAAAAACACGCGCTCAATCTTGCTGGCTAATTGACTTTGCCGTTAGCACCAATCAAAGCTAGGCAAAAAGCCACTAAGAATGCATCGGCGCATTGCGTGTGTTCCTGAACTTGGCGAAAGTTGCTTCTCCTGGAAAACCGCCCATTCATCAGCACAACAAGTTGCCGAGGTTTGCCTTGCCCTTCCCGCGGACTGCCCCATGTTTCCCATTGCCCCACGGAATTTAAAAAGGCCGAAACAAGTAATTGTGGTTCATTTGAAATTTGCCCCAAGAGTAATGAATAGATAGATGAAGCTGCTTTTGGGTGGCATCATTGCTTACAGGGCAAGTGGTGTTTGTTGAGACTCGGGATTGCAAACAACGCCCATGTGAAAGTGAAAGACGCCGCTCATCATTCAGCACCCGCCAATCTTTCCCCCCAACATCCGGCACATACCACTCCATTCAACGACACGTACATAGGTACATATACTGACAAATCTCATGAGAATGGTAAAGAGTGTTTCGGTATAGTACTAATATTGCATACGGGCTACTTCTCGTCTCATTCCATCATGCCTCCCCCTGTCTCTTGTTTCTCCCTCTCCCCCTCTCCTCCTCTCTCTTCAACAAAGTGAAAAAACAGCTCAGCTCAACCTCTCACACTCTAGTGCTAAAACCATACAGTTACATTTTTTCCATCATTTTTTTCAGAGTCTTTTGTCCCCCAGTCCCCCACGCTATCATTTACCAAGAAATTCTAAGCAGGTATATCGTCGTATATAGGCTCCAACCCTGCCCACGCAGCCTCGTAATCGCCATCAGGCCCGGCCTTTTCTCGCTGTGTCCAGTACTTGCCGTTGAATTTCCAGTACTCTTCACCCGTGATTTCGCAAGTCGCCTTGGTGAACCATGCAGGAACGAATTCTTCGCCGGCATTTTCGCGCATCCGTCGGCGAGCACGCTGGTTCTCCTCCAGCCGGTTCTTCTCCGTCGCTGCGAAATCATACTCTCCTTCCTCCATGGCGCGCTGATCTGGCCGCAGGCGTGAGTCTGTGGGCGCGATCCACGGCCTCAGCTTGTCGTCGATGTGGTTAAACGTCAGCACAAATGGAGTCAGGTTGAAAGGAATGCCTGTCGGTCTCTCGTTGGCTTGCCAGATGAGGTATGCTCGGCTAGGGTCTGCAATGCTGCCTCGATGAACAATGTCCTTGTTCTTCGTCGAGGGCTCGTCAACAGCAGCTTCGTAGCCCGGCGTCAGTCGGGCATATAGCCTCGAGTTCCATCGCCCGCCGAGGCTCACGCGCACCTGGCCCGAGGCATCCATGACCTTGCCGACGATCTGGTACGCACTCGAGGCCTTCCACCCCCTGGCCTTGAACTCGACCAGCGCCACTTCCCCAGTTGTCCAGTTCTTAATCTCCATGGGGCCGTAGTTGTCCACGGTGGGGTTTCCTGTAATGATGCCAATCACTGAAGATGTCACCTTCTTCCATGTATACAAGTCCTCCTTGCCACCAGCGGTGGGCCTGAGCTTGAGGAACCATGTTCCAAGAGGGTTAATGTCAAACGACTTGCCGTAGAACTTTGACTTGACATGCGATTCGCCCCAGTACGTCCAGTTTGGCGACTCTGCCCAGGCGGCGCCAATCGGTGGGTGATGGCTGACCTGCTCGATGAAGAAGCGGTAGTTTTTGTCCGGACGAACATACTCAAACGTTTCGCCGAGCAAGGGATTGAAAGGTTTGGCGACGCGGCCAATCGTGGACGCGTACTCGCTGGCAGCAAACGCGGCCACGTACATAAGTCTTTCGATTGAATCAGAGCGTTCTGCTGCGAGGTCGAGGAGGTCCACGTATTCCATGTCCTCACCGCAACGGTACAGCAAGGACGTAGGCTCGTTGAAGGACACGGGTAACGTCATCCTCGTCATATCCTTGCCAATCATGGACTTGAGAATACCCTGTCCCTACTTGTTAGCCCATCCCGCACACTCATGAACCCAGCGGCAGCTGATTGATTAGTGCACGTACCCAGAGAGAAATCTTCGGCCGGTCATCGCTCTCCATCTTGAGCTTATGCCGAATTCCATTTTCATATCCCGTGAATGAGCTGCTAATGTCGATGCCCGAAATGACGACGTCCTTCTTTTCCTGTTTAGTATCGCTAGGAGGCATCTCGGTGACTTCAACGTCACCGGCATCCACGGCATCAAAGAACTCGTCTTCCACTCCAGACTCGCTGTCAGACATCTCCGCCATCTGCTCGAGAGCTGTCGGCTTTCGGGGTAAGCCGCGGGCAGCTGCCTTTACAACGACTTCGACCTCCTCGACCTCTTCTTGTACCCTTTCCATCGTTGGCGTGACGCTGGCGGACGGCAAGGCGCCTCCCTCCATGACTTCCCGCAACGCCTTCTTTGCGAGCTTGCGCTTCATCTCTGATTCACCAACGCGGGCTTCAAGAATTTCCTGCTCACGAGCCACTTGCGCCATACTCTCCTCCCACATTCGTCGCATGTTGGACTCACGATCGAGCCGGTACTGCCAAAATGCGTCGCGGTCCTTGGAAATCCGGAGCAGGTCACCAACCAGGGCCGTCAAGCTCCGGATGGCAGCATCGTACGTAGAGAGGGCCTGGGTCACCTTTGTGTCAGACAAAGTTGTGGCAGGACTACGGGTGAGTTCTGCCATGAGAGCCGAGTGGACGCTTCCCATGGTCTCGAGCTGCAGCTTTGCTGATTGCGCCGTAATGTTGAGTGCGTCCTTGGTCGCCTGGGGCTCTTCACGGCCGCTCGTTTCTTCGCCATAGTCGTCCTCGTCGTCTCCGTCGCCTGGTATGGTGCCAGGGCCAGCAGGGTGCTCATGGCCTTGCATCGCATCCGCCTCTGTATAGGTATCCACGAAATCCTCCTCTTCTACGCTGCCGATGCTGGTGCCGGTCATATCTGACTTCTTGACACTAAGGATCGGGCGCGCTTGCAGCTGCGTGCTGACCCGTCGCAAGTCCGTCATGCTCGTGTTCTCGCTATGAGAGTCTTGGGCAGAGACTGATCCGCTCTGGTCGGCCTTGGCCAGCCGAAGAAGCTCAGCGCTGCGAGCTGCTTGGCGTTCTTCTTCCCTGGCTTGATCTTTGGTCCATTGGATGGAGTTGTTGAGGGCCCAAAACCATCGCTTGGCTTCTACTTCGTGGTTTGCCTTGAGCGTATATTTAACAGATGACTTGCCGATGATTTCAAACTTGGTCTTCTCGTCTGGGCTCATGTGGAGCTGAGCAATCTTCATGTTGATGGCGCCGCGGCATGCCGAGCCGGCATCGTCTTGGTGCTTGTAATAGCTCAGCACTCCATCCTCCAGCACAAACCATCTCAGCTGGTAGCCCTTGCGGTAGTTGGTCCATTTCTTCAAGTATCCCTTCATCTCCCGAGCCTCGCGGCCCGCCAAGGGATCAGTAGGGCCACCGGCGGTTGCGTTTTGCGAGGCTGCATGTCCCAGCACTGCTTTCTCTTGAATCCCCCTCTGAGCTGCCACAGCGGCTGGCGACTTTTTCAAAATGGCCTTGACGCTGTCGTCGTTGGTGATTGACTGGGGCAGCTTGCCTTTTCGATCGCGACGGAATGGATCGGCACCGTGGAGTAGAAGCACCTGGATGAGCTGAATGTTCTTCTTTTTGGCTGCCTCGTGAAGCAAGGTGCCTCCGGCCTGGACAACGGCCGGGTCGCTCACAAACTCGGTGCTGTTGATGTCGAGCATCGTCTTCAGCCGCTGCTCCTCCAGCACCTGAGCAAGGGTATCATAGTCGCTCTTGGCGATGAGGTCCTGGATTTGCTGCACTTTGGCATCTGTGAACATGGAACGGGAAAGCTGAAGGAGCTGGAATATCTCGGGGGTTCGCGCCAAGTCGATGGGCAGCTTCCCTTGGGAATTTGCAATGGCATCGTTGATTTCCTTCTGCTCCAGGAGCAGCTTGACTGCCTGAGTACGGCCGTGCATGGCCGCAATGTGCAGCGGGGTGTTGCCATCCTTGTCTCGAGAATTTACATCCAAGCTGCCAAGGCCGTCGGAGAGAACGTATTCGATAACAGGGAACTCGGCGCACTGCATGGCCAGATGAAGTATGGTGGTGTCTTCCAGCGCTCCAGCACTGGACCCGCTTAGCGAGGACATGCTCGCACGTGGGACGCCGTCCGCCGTCTCTCGAATGGCCTTTGAGATGGACGCCGTGTCCCCGCTCCGCAGGGCCTCGACAACCCTGAACTTGCGAACCGACTGCTCGAGGCTGCCGGTCTTGATATCTTGAATAGGGGAGCCCTTTACGCTTGAACCTGTCTGATTGTTGGACGGTGTTCTGCTCAGAACGGCCGACGGTGTCGATAGTCGCGAGCTGTGGCCGCGAGGGGCTGACGTCGCATGCTTCGGAGGAGATGCATGGCTGCCTGTGGTCGACAATCGATCGTCTTCAGTTCCGGATTCGTCTTCGCGAGTGTCCTTGCGACGCAACAGCGACAGCGCGGCGGCGGACTTGGACCGCTTGTGGTGGTTGCTGTAGCCACATCAACCGAGTCAGCCAACTCACCCAGGCCATCAGATTGCTCCAACAGGACTCGACGACAAAGACAGGACGCGGCCATGGTCGCAAACAAGAAAGAGACTTCGCAGCAAGCAAACGGACAAAGACGGCGATTAAAAATCAGAGGCTGGTCGACGTACCTCTCGCCCA